TGCTTCATGGGACACAAATACAAAGGGAAGATTACGGGATATTATTGGCAAAACTTGTATATTTCTTGAAAAACAATTGATATGTGAAGAAACACATTAACGCAGCGTAAAGTCTTGGTAAATTTGATAAGAAAACGACAAGGAAAGAAAGTAATCCGTTAATTGTTTTAAAGAAGAAGTCATCACTTTTGATGGGACAAAAATGTTGAATCTCCGGGGATCACACAATGATAAATGAGGTAAAACCTGAAGTAAATGTGTCTGCTAGAATGTGTTAAAATAGACTATTGTGCTGCTGATGATGGAAGGATGTATGCCTCAGTTGAAAGACAGATAGAACTGGAGAAGGATTATTGGATTTGACATGTCTCCTCTCAAATGGTGTCTACATCTCCAGGTCTACGGAAAAGCCCAAATGTAATACACATAACTTTCTTTGGACAAAATGGTTTAGAATAATTATATTATAGCGTAAATGTATTTGAGTAACTACGGTATTCTCATGTGGTTAGTTGTCTGCGCAGGTATTATTTCCTAAAGTAAAGTTTCTTAGTATACTACAGTGAGAAAAGGGCATTAAGTGTATACCAGCAGCAGCAGCAGCAGCAGCACATTGAGTCAAGTAAAATGATATATCTTATTATATAAAGCTTTAGCTTCAGAAAGTATGTAACGTTATGGATATGCCTGACACAATTCAGTAGTCCAAAGTAACTTAAACCTTTATAAACATAATCGGATGGAGATAGTAAGCTCGTCCTCTATAGGGTCTGTTCGAAACATATGCACATCAAATTTTGTGTTTTATTCGCTTGATATCTTGATCCAGACACGGATGAAAAAAATCATGTAATTATAAAAGCCACTGCGCACATAAAAGTTGTGTTTTGGCAAGAAATAAACAACGAATTAAGCAACGTACTTAAAGAAATTCAAACCTATTGAACTCTTCACTGTAATTTTGAAACAGACAGTAGAACAAGAGAGAATACAGTTAAATGTCACCATCATTAGAGGAACATACTATCAGATTTACAGCTAATTGAATGAAGAAGGAGAGAAATAATCTAATTAATTGTTTTAGTCCTACATCCAAAATACGAAATAATAATAATATCAAAGGTTAAAATGGAAAAAAACAACAGTTTACAATTTTGTATTCATCGTTTGCTGATGACATTTAAATCTTTCTTGACTGTGCCAGGCAGTGACTGAGAGCAATTATACGGAAAGATTATTGCAAGCTTCTCTGGGATAAGGCTTGTTATAACAGTGTAATGAAATACAGCTATTGAAATATAGGTACTTAACATATAGTCACGATACAATAGAAATATGATCATATGTATCCCTAGGTATTACATTTCCTGTTGCTAAAATTCTAAACTAATCTGATTTAAGGATGTACTCTTCTTCACGTTCAAGTCTCGTTTTGATTTTATGTAACAATTTTTTGTAATATTTAAAAAGTTATGACCAATTTAAATAGCAAACATACGGCTAAAAAATATGTTGAAAAACTAAATGCCCGTGGTTTATATAAAAAAAAAATTACAAGAATTTAAAATGACAGACCAATTTTGCGGCCATTTTGAAAGACTGTATTTCGTGCGCTTTACGAAAGACCGAAATTCACATTTTAGACACTGAATTGATCACTTAAATCGTCATTGAATTGCCATGTTTAATTGCAACAAGCTCATTTGTACTGTACAACTTTATTATGCTCAAAATGATGAAAATGATACGAACAAAGTTAAACATTATACATGAAAGTTGTTTATTTTACATATTTATTGTAACTGAAGCACTTTCGAATTTTGACCCCAAACGATGAAAAATAACAAATAATAATGGAACAAAAGAAGAAGCACACACATCCTCAATTTTTGTGGCTTTTTTAGAAAGAGAAACTCATCTTCTTTATATTTAATAAATACAAAATAAATAGGTTAATAGCAGAACTTTTATATCAAGCGTAAAATTTGCAACAATCGGTGGAAAAAGTGAGTATTTTTTCATTAAAAAATAGGGGGTATCATTACACTAAAATCGACTTCTGGGAAAAAAATAATGAGATTAAGACTTTTAACTTCCATTTCCCAAAAGAAAATACCATTTTTGTCAATTCTGCAAACAAGTATACATATCTGATAACACCATTGAAAGATAATATATGAAATTGTTCTGCAAATGCTCAAAACCAAAAAACAAACACCTAGAATAGCATATTATATTAAACTGGTATCTTTGACTGATCACAGCACAAAATCGAACACACGGACATATCTTTTAATCTTTGCTTTTTCTTGTATACCATTAACTCCTTTTTCCAAAAATGCATATAAGAAAAACAGTTTTCTTTATTGCTTCCGTATGAATCCTCTTTAAAGATTAAACTTACTGTAGAAAAGTAAAACAAACATAATACAATGATATGTTATCGTGAAACGTACCTGGAGGGATGATTAAATATGATTGATGACGTATTTTATGAAAGCAGTGAAATGTAAATTGATAAGTGGATAACATACGCAATTCTGTGAATGGCATCTGAGGAAAGTTGGATTCCCGATAAGAACTTCATACCATCTAGGTATCTTTATATAGTTATTAACCTACAAACAATATTTTAAACTCGCATATACGACAACAAATTCTGTTTTTCTAAATCGACTAATAGATGCTATGTACCGGGGAAATAACACAGTTCCCTGTGCTAAATTATCCGGATTTCTTCATTAATATAAAGAATCTATAAAAACATGATGCTAAGACCACATGCCAATCTCCTCCAAAACTCCGTGTAATTAAGGTACGTGGACAACCAAATCAGGTGAGAGGTTGGCGGTATTCTACCTTGCCCACACTTGAGTTGATAATTGAAATGACTGTGTGGTTCGGCACGAAATCATGAAAAGTTAAATCATGGAAATTGGAGATGAAGATTCTTGCAATGTTCTGGTCACCTTTCGACCTGTTCTACGAAGTACTATCCGAGACAAACGCCACTTGTTTACAAACATCACGGAAAGGTCAACAAAAACCACTATTCAACAGGATTAGTTTGCATCATGATATATAAACTGTGATAGATTGTGCTCTCAGGAAATAGTCAAGCTGTTGTCTTTTCATACAAACGGTTTGCCTTTCAGAAAAAAAAAGACAAAATACTTTTTCCCTAGTGCCCATTCTTTAATATATAATTTATCTACTAGAGCATATACATCCATTAGTATGATACTGGTATACATACAAGTGCTATATGCCTACCAACGTTATATATACATAGTATCAGCAGTCTACACATGATAGATCTTTAGTGATGTGCGTACACCTTAAAACAATACATGGTTTACCATCGCAAACGTTTTCAAAGTTTCATTTGAATTATAAAAATCGGGCAAAAAAATTGAAGCAAATAATACGAATGTCAACTAGTGCTGCGGATTAAGTATGGTTTTATTCGGCATCCTCTTGGCAGTGGCTGCCCAATATTGATTCTACTGGAAGATCACATAAATCGCCTCATGCGATCATGAAGTGGGAAAGAGCAGGTCAAGTATTTCTCTGAGTTTTGAGTTAGTAGTTATTCAATCACAACCGCTGAGAACTTAAAAATCTACACAAATATGTGAAAAAGGTAGTACGTTCTAATGCTTTTTCTACGAGCAAGACCCTAATACAGACACGGTATGACGGGGTGCAGATCAAACATATCAGTATCGTGCATGCGCCTTCATATTAGGGACAAGAGTTACATCTGCACGTGCAGCGTCAATGCGCTATTCTCTAAAGTGCTCAGCGCAAGAGGTTGCGTGTCAACATGGATAACTTGAAATTCTTTATAACCCATCAAATGTTGCCGATAACCGAGTTGTCATTGAATGGGACGACATGATGTAATCCATCGCCACCAAAACTCCTGTCTTTGGCATATCGGTGTGGCCTGCCATTCCCGTTAATTGGAAAGATAATGTGGTGAAGTGCATACGAATCCGTCACTTAAAACCCGTTATGTCTTTTGCCGTGCATTTGAATTGATGGCCCCTGGTCTCTAGTCATCTCTAACTTAATTAATGACACTGGGAAGTGTATGTAAAATGTGGCGACGTTAAAATAGTCTCTTGTCTGCTTTTGGAATCTTTGATTTTAAACATGGAAACTCAATCATGGAATCGATACAATCCAATGTAATGTTTGATCAAATTATAAGTTTATTGTAAATTCGATGCATGTATCACGCTCGGACTAGCAGCACTATTAACGTTTCTCTTCATGTGCCAAGCAGGCGGGGGTCTTAAAATCAAAGAGATTATTAATTATTGTGGTAATCGATGTATATACCGCTAAGAGGAATATTTACGAGTTATGCTACTAGTTTATGATGACAGCATGTACCCCACTGGGACTACAAAGGATCCTATGTAATCTCTGCCCTAAAGCATCTTATACATGTGACAGGGCGACTCGGGACCGTGTTTCGAGGATAGTATTCCCACTATCCATTAATACTAATGTTAAACAGATAGTGCCAGCGAATCGTTCACGCCTACATTTCTACAGCGATGTATGTGATCCCCTCATTTTAGCTTTGACACATTAATTAATACATTTGATTTCTTGTTTACTGTTAAAGATTGTAATTGCTTTGCCGTGTTTTAATAACTAGCCCGTTTCCCGAATATTTCTGATCCGGAAAAGTTCCCAGACATAGCTAGGCGAACGGTCATCCCGTATATAACCCGTGGGATCAAGTCGAATGAGCCGTCCAAATCTACTCAGATAACTCCTGTAAGGGATTTAAGTGTTCCTACCTATGGGCCTTGCAATCAGCTCTCAACGAAACAATACTGCGTCCTCATGCGCTCTGGGAAATACGACTCATCTCAACGTGTTTGGTACAATGTTAGCGCGTGAGAGTGATTGGTAGTATGTATCCGCATGGGCTTGAGGCTTGTTGCCCGCTCTTTGGTTCTCTGTGATAGCCCGGTCGACAATCACGCTCCTCACGGCTCGCCAGTGGCATCGCAACGCAATGCTGTAACTGTTCTCATTAAAGCACTATCGCAGTCTTCATCATTGTCAACCGCATCTACGTAACCGATCGTTCATACGTGTATAAGCTGTGGCAATGCCAGGCGGGGTGTTCCCGGGATTGACAATCATGACTACAAGTATTTTATCATATTTAGTCCGCTAGCGAAGTTGTGTATGTATTATGTCGATGTAGCCATGCATTATACATGTGTACAGTTATATTGACAATTAGCCTCTTGTTTGGTTTAATGTTAATAATAGTCGTGTCTAGTATTTATTCTAAAAAGTATCTGGTATCAGTTGTTTGAGCGAGTTGGGGTAGTGGAGTGACGTTTGCTATTTCCTGGGGGAGAGATCTTTGGACAAATATGGATCTACGGTCAACGTTCCTTCTGACGTTCATCGGACAAGTGTACCTGGTCAGCAATGTAAGTATACTTTTTAAACTGTTACCTGTATGGCGAATGTTACTTTGATGTATCGCTGGCCGGCCACCTGGACGATCAATATCTTTGTATATATCGCCCCACCCTTACCTCTAGCAGTTGCGGTCTTGGATATGTAAGAGTGTTTTTACGCCGATGTATCGTGAAGTTTATTGGAGTCTGACACGCCATGGTTTTAACTATAGTTGTATAGTTACATTAATGGTTCACTAGTCTGACAATAAAATGGTTGGTTACGATACACGGGAACAATAAATAAATAGTTATGATGTATTATATTGCTATTTATGACTAGATACGATAGAGCTTCTGTACATGTGTTACGGTATTTACTTATTGGTACATATCACAACCGGGTATGTAAAAGTCTAAACGAATGATTTCTTTATGTTTGAATGAAATATGACCGGTACCTACAAACGAATTTTGAAAATTGCCGAAATAATGTTTGGAAATCCCAGAAGGTTCATGTCTGTAAAATGTGCTTCTGCTTATGTGAACGTCTTAATATGAATAAAGGAACGTCCGATTTTAAGACAGGCTAAACATATTAATATTTCATAAAACTACTAATTGCATTCATAAGTTAATGGATGCAATTGCTTTAATTTTGGTGGCATTATATGAATGCAATGTTGGTCCTTATTACAACCGTTACATTAGGTCACATATAACGGAAGTGATATCACCAAGTGGGTGTGGCAGCAGCTCATCTATAAAGGTAAACAAAGCGCCGTAACACCTCACCAGTTTTATCGTCCACGGCTTGTATCACAAATTAATAAAAAGAACATGGCTAATTTACAGTGTACGGAATTCGTAAGTATCGATTGATTGTTTATTAACAGTATTTTGTCGATATTAGGACATGTGCCATTAAAAACTCACTACGGTGTAAAATTATATTCTATACAATGATACGGCACCGGTCTTCAGTCTAATTAGGTTGTTATGTGATTTCATGGCATTTGTCGTCCTGAATTATTTAAGACATCCGGCGCTCTGGGGCTACGCTGTATTGCACATGCAATGTATATCATAGCGTTGAACTAAATGACACGACAAAATTATTAATTTCTTTTTGAAAATGTAGATATTGTAAAGCAGCGATTAATTTGAAATTAGATTACTTAATTAATTATACTTCTGAACATGATCTACTTGGTGCCGCCTGATGACAGCCTTTAACATCAATTCCGTTGAGTATGATACAAGCTGTGACAAACGGTTAGATGAGCGCCTAAGTACACACCATGACTGCCGGTACAATACAGCCAGTCACACGTTGATTTTTGAAAAGATAACCAGTTATAAATGACTCATTCACATATTTCCCCTGGTATCTGTTAAACTCAGTTTTTCTGTACCGACGTATAGGTAAATGGAGTTATTTTAAGTACAACATTTTCATATATATATTTTCTGACAGCCTTTGGAAGAACAATAAGGACTGACGCAGTTTTGTTTAAGGAGACAGTAAAGATATCAGAATCTATTAGTTATCTTATCTTTTCTTTTTGTAATCAGTGTTTTTCCTTTTTGGATATCTTTATTTTATTCATGTTCGACCGCTTCGTTACCTATTACCGACGTAGGGATTATACAAAGAATCCAATCAACTACATGTGTATACACACTTGTACAACGAACATATCATAATATCCCATGCCAATGTATTTAATCCTCTAATAAAACAAACAATGTATGTTTGATACACACATATATAGGCACATAGCAGACACCACATATTTTAAACAATATCATTATTTCAAATTCCATACAAATGTAACAGAAAAGTGAAAATGTAATGGCCAAACAGAGATTCGAACCCGGGACCTCCGAACTCTAGACGGACGCTCTAGCCAACTGAGCTACAATAAGTCGCTGGCGATCGACACATTTCATATTTAAATAAGTCCCTGCATGAAGAGCGTAAGAATTGTACCTGCTGCTCACATTGCATGACCGTAAGAGGCTACTAAATTTGTCTTTTTTCTTCTCTCTATACAACTTTCCTCTTCCTTATAGATCCCGTGACAATGCCTCACTTTTTGCCTTTAGTTGAGCGTTCGCTCCTGTGAGTAAAGGCTTTGAGTTCTGTCCCCTGGCCGAGACATACCAGAGTCTGTAAAAATGGTAGTTTCTACTCCTGCTTAACGCTCAGCAATTTAGGAGTGGGGCGACTGGTTCGCCCGTTGTCAGTATAAAGTGACCGGGTGGGGTGTCCTGCTGGGTGTCTTCGGCAGTATGTTTCAGTGAGGTAGCACCATAAAGTCGGCATCAGTCCCGTGCTATCACAAGGAGACAAACACGAACATATCGCAGCCCCCCAAAACACACACGCATACACTACACGCATGCATCTTGCTCACAGAGAAGGCCGTCCTTAAATGACCGTAGCTGTTGATAGGACGTTAAACAATACTAAACTAATCCAAACCAAAATCATATTTAATACACATGAATATACATACCAACACAGCAAACAATTTTCAATTCTAGAACGCATATATTACAAACTAACATAGCATAACATTCCGCACATACATGTATATACACAACCCAACAAAGGATATCTTATATGTCATACACATGTATATACACACTCACAAAACAGACAAAGTTGTTGGATTCGCAATTTCACAAACATCTCATATTTAACACACATATAAATACACAGCCATACAGCAAATTGATACATACACAAAACAACCATTTCATAGCTGATTGGATATTCCTCGTTAAGTACATTATACTTAGATTAGACGTAGACAATGACATACTTGTCGACTAATCTATCAGACACAAACACCAGACTCCCTTTATTGAAAATAGATTCGGTCCTCCACGGTATCAATACGTATTGGCTTTTGAATATGTAGGAGAGAATGTCACTGACACTCACGAGGTTTCCCTAGAACACTTAACTTTGATGCTAACGCTCGTTGCAATTGCTATTCAAGATAACTTTATCATATTGACGACATAATTCGTTTCCGTATCATCAAAAACAATTTCAAAAGGACACGATTGCCATGAAGTACACTGCTTATTGTACTTGGCAGACGGATAAACAAATTGAGCGCAGTTTAATCGAACAGTTAGGCTCGTAAGTATCTTGGTAAAGAGGAGATGTTGTATCTGTACTCTAGTATACAAGGGATATCTCTAATTGACAATGGGAAGTGAATGAATAGCCTCATTTTCAATTTGCGCGAGTATTACACGATCAATAATAGGAGAACTACTTTATGAAATTCCGCTTTGGCTTTACAATTTGTAACGCTGATTTTCATTGGTTATCTGGCTAGCTATCCCACGAGTGGGATTTATTGGAAATTCAGAAAGATTGAGTTGCACATTATTCTGAGTTATTACATGTTGAATGTGATTAAAGAAAATTAAGCAAGTGTCATATTCACATTTAATCAAAGTAAAATCCGTCAAAGGAACGTATGGCTTTCTAATTAAAATAATCAAGCATAGAATGAATATTGATTTTACATCTGCAAAGTATGACAACGGTTTCCTCGTTTTCTACTCACAATTGTCAACGAATGGATCATTTCATTGACGTGTACACAGCCCTTATGCACTATTCTCTTTTGCTTTTAATTTGCTATTACTGTTGAAACCACCGAATTTGGTCGTTGTCCTGTAAAAAGTCAATAAAAGGTAAAACGGGTATGAACACTTCAGATACCGAGTATATCTAGGATACAATGGATTGTGAAGACCATCAAAATTGCTTATGGGTGTATTTAATTATTTACATTTGCTTTGCATTACCACTATAAACGCAAACAATAGTCAGTTATGATTTATAAGACAATAAATCTAGATTGAACACCATGACGTCATCATTACCATCACGCTGGAGATAGCAGGCGCCGATACTGGCTGTTTGCTGTTCCATTTATTAAAGTACAGCGTTAATTTTGAAAAAGAAATTTACGCGCTTTTTTCGATTCGTCTGAAATCCTTTCCATTTGTTTCGGACTCAAACTCAATAAGGTTGAGTGTTTGAAATCTTATTTAAATTCAGTATCTTTAAAAAAGCAACCGTCACAGATGTTATTTAACGTTTAATCTGTATATATGTTTTTGTAGTCAACGATCCTAAAACCTCATGATTCCTTTTGTTTCTCGAGAATAATCCATATTAAAATGATCTAAGGCCGTATAAATTATTCCTTATTAAGTATTGCAGTGACAATTTTGAACCAATTTGAATTCACAATTGAACCTCGAAATTGTTTTCGTAATTATTAAATACTGTTTTCCATTTTGTCCAGACTGTGTTTCATCTCCGTCGGAGAAAACAATTGCCTAATGTATGGCACTACTACTCAACTGTCAATGAAAATCTAAGGATGACACGTGACAAATTTGATGTCACGTTCTCTAGTTTTCCCTTTTCCGATAGTTACATGCTAGACACCCTTCTTTTTCAGTTTTATCTACTGATCCAGGTTATGTTTAAAGTATCTGTATGGAGGTCCCCTGTTGAACACTTTGTGATGTATTTAGGGATTTCGATCAGACACTCCTTTGTTAACGCTGAAATGCTACAATCACCAACATGACCTGATTGCGAAATAATGGATTTCTAATATCTATCTTGATCAAAAGCATTATCACTGTCTTGAATTCTCGGTGACCTTTACTCGTGATCTACACAATTAAAAATAAAACAAATATTACATTGTGTGATTATCCTTCCAGGTTGCCTGCTGTCAAAGCCGGTTATTTGGTGATTTAATTATGTCTTTCTTTAAATTCGAGTGTTTCCTCGGTTGTCTTTCCGCATTGACTTTCACTTCCGATAGTTCCTTGCGTGCAGACGCCAAATAATTTTTTTTCTATTTTATTTCCTTGTTTCATCCTCTTTGATGCTCCCTTCCTTAGTATTCGCGTCTATTTCTCGAATGGAAATGTTTGATGATTATCTATATTTGACATTTACGAGTGATCTAATGAAG